GGTGGCTTAATCGTTATGAGCTGGGCTGCGTCACTGCAAGATCAGCAGGTTGGCAGTTAAACAGGAGAAAGATGAGACTTTCTGCTCCCATAAAAATTTATAGCCTCAGAAATGCTATACAGGGTCACTTGAGTCAGAACTGAGTCATTGGCACACAGTCACTAATATACACATACACACACACCATGAGGGTGAGTCAAAAATCAAATGTACTTCGGTTATATTAAAATGCCTGTCCATGTCTATGGTTGATGACAATATTGAGTGTGCATGTGAAATGATTCTGTCAAATAGACAAGTGACAGTGGATTATGTGGCAAATCATTTACAAATCAACCATGGTTCTGTTTATGAAATAATCCAAGACAGACTTGAGTTTTGAAAATTTTTCTGAGATGGGTCCAAAACAACTCACGGAAGAGCATAAAAAGAAGCATTTGGAGATCTGCAAACAAAATTTGGAACGATATTCGAAGGAAGATAAAAGTTTCTTTAAAAAATCATTATTGGTGACAAGACATGGATCCATCACTACGAGCCTGAGCGTAAACGGCAGAGTATGGAATCCTTAATCACCGACCAAGAAAAAAATCTAAAAGTCAACTGTCAGTTGGAAAATTGATGCTTACAGTTTCCTTTCTCAAGGACCAGTATGGAAACACTATCATCAAAAGATTCCAACAATCAACAGTGCTGTTACAGTGAGTTGCTCACTGAAGAGCTGAAGCCTAAATTTCAGATTAAATGCAGAGGACTGCTATCCAAGGGCCTTGTGATCTTGCATGACAATGCGTTTCTGCAAACCTCTGCCCTTAGTATTGACACTCTGCAAAAACTTGGTTTTGAGATGTTAAAGCATGCTCCCTAAAGTCCTGATTGTACTCAATCGGACTTTCACCTGCTTGGTTGGTCACCTGAAAACAGCCCTTCGTGATGAAGATTCACCTTTGATGAAGAAGTGAAGACAGCGGTGCATTCATGGCTCACAGCTTAATCTAAAACATTTTAATTAAGTCCTGGTGTAGCACTGCAGGATGATGCTCCCAACTGCAAGGTCCAACTCATAGCATACCTGTATAGGGTTTCAGAGGGTCTGCTGGTGACTTTGAATTGCAGTGGTTTGCAGTTCAGTGCTGATTCTACAGCTCTACACATATGTATGGACTACTGGTATGGTGCTGTTGGATAAAGCACTGGACCACAAGGTTGTTTTGAACCACAAGGTTGGCAGTTGAAAGTCACCAGCTGATCCTTGGAAACCCTATATGGGGCACTGTGAGTCAGAACCAACTGGATGGCACCAGTAAACAACATATGATTGTTGTTAAGTGCGGTCAAGTAGGTTCTGACTCATAGCGACTTTGTGTAGGGTTTCAAACGTACTTTTAAAAAATCTTCCCAGAAGCAGAAAGCCTCATCTTTCTCCTTTGGAGCTGCTGGTGGACTCCAACCATGGACCTTGTGGTTGACAGTCCAGTGCTTATTGTATGGAGCCATCATATAGATGGATAGAAAATGAGGTTGTTCCAGAAATGCCGCAGATTTTCAACTAGGGGGATTATTGTGTGCAGCTGTTAAGTGAGGGTCTCATTCCTGAGCTCTCAGGGTCCACAGTTGGGTAATAAATGCCTTTTGGATGAGGGCATGAAAGTCTGTCTCACAAGGAACAGCCAGTCATTTTACCCTGGTGGGCTGGAAACCCCAAACTCCACTTCATTATTTAATTTTAGGCTCCAAAAAAAGTACCATTTTGGCCAAACTTTAAGAAATATTATTAGAGCAAATGATGCATTAAAATTGTTTTTATTTTAACTTTATCACTCAAGGCAAAATGAGAATAATTCTTTTATTTGTTTTCAAAATTGTATTCTTGATCCAGATTTTAAAAGAAGGTTTGAGAATTAACCAGCTCATAGTAATGAACAGAAAGTAAGGAAATAATCTCGTAAAAAAAAAAAAAAATCCCCCAACCCAAATCTCTTTTCCTACAATCTCCAGTGAACCCTCATTATGAGCTTGTTTCTTGTGTAAAGAGGCATTTTTCATGAGAAGGAAGTCAAGAGTTATTCCAAAATATGTTACTTATAGTTAGTTTAGATAAATTGTAAAACTTTATTTAAAATAACCTTGACATGATGTTGTATTCCATTCTTAACCTTTTCTAGTTTTATAGTTTATTGAATGCACACAGATCAAATATGGTAAAATAGGGTGCTGCTTTTGTAGAGCGTATCAGCACAAATGTGCTGTAAAAATAAATTGAGTATTTGAAATGTGTACAGGTCTGTTGACTCCAATAGGATGTGCTTATTGGGACTTTGATATCGTAATCATTGTGCCCCTCCTATATTATGCTACACACAAATTATTTAATCACTCCATGATGTAGGGTTGATTTCAGACTATCCAAGTACCATCAGTTATGAATGATAACTCTGGGTGTGTCGTTGAGAGTCACAGCACATCTAGTTAATGATTATTAATTTAGTGCCTGCTTTGCCAACTTAGAATACTCACGAAGTACTAAGGTTTGCACACACATCCATTTCCCCAGTAACCCTTTTCATAGAACTACTTCTGGTGAAGATTAGCAGAATCGAACATGCCATCTTTATTGCTTTTATTGCTGTTATTCTGAGGGGCTCGGGTGCCAATTACCGGTTCCCCAGATTATGCCCGTAATTGACTATGTTCCACTATAGGTAACTCCGAAAGTGACAGGCAGCCTAGAGTATGGTTCTACCGCCTGTCGATTGGGCCTTGCAAGGAACCCCGCCTCATTAAGAGCGGCAGTTGGCCCGACTCCTGTGAGTGGCGGCTCTTAGCTCCTCCCCGGCTGCGCTGCCTGGGTCGGCGCCGTTTCCAGTTGAGAGATGGCGGCCGCCGCAGGTAGATCGCTCCTGCTGCTCCTCTCCTCCCGGGGCGGCGGCGGGGGCGCCGGCGGCTGCGGGGCGCTGACTGCCGGCTGCTTCCCCGGGCTCGGCGTCAGCCGCCACCGGCAGCAGCAACACCACCGGA